TTAGATTTCTTCCATGGCTTTACTACTTTTAATGTCTCACTGGTACTAGTGTCCCACTGGTATGGTCTGGCCTTTAGTCCAGTGTCAGGTCAGGTTTTCTAAAGCACACTGGCTCTGAACATTTTCTTGACAGCTCTTTGTCTACTTAATTAAGTGCATAGTTCTCATTCCTGCTTTCAGTGTCCTCTGTGATTTGGCCTCAGCTAGCTGACCTTGCTATCCTACTTTCTCGTTACTTTATTAAATGGATGTTATATCTAGCATTACCAGTCCCTAAAATAGGCAGTGTACTTAGTATACACTGTGTACTTAGATGACTTCAAGTCACTGCATGTGCTTTTTCTTGTTTGGAATTTCTTAAGCTCTTTTTGTTTAGTTTTGATTCCTTTCATTTCATTTTGTTTGAGACAGGGTCTATCCTTCTGCTGCTGCCTCTCTTGTGCTGGGATTATAGGTGTGAACCACCACTCCCAGTCCTCCTTAAGTTCTTTGGGCTGTTTATCATTCTGTGTTTAGTTTAAACACCAACCTTCTTCACCTTTTGACTGAGACTGAGTACAGTTCAAACACCATGCCTTCCCTGAACTCTTCTACCTCTCTGCTAGAATTAATCAACTGTATTTTCTTTAGTGTTACTTTTGACAGTGTGGATCTAGTATCTTACTTGCTTGGTGTAGTACTAATTATTTATGTTGATTTTTGCCACTAGAATGTAAAAATTCCTGAGGTCATGGAACAAGCCCATTCCAGTTTTGCTTCTTTTCCCTGGTATATCCTTTTAGGCTTTCAGGTGGGTGGATGCTTCTGGGCTTCCTTAAGCACTTGTGATTTTTCTGTGGCCCTCAGAGCAGCAGGCTCTTCTTCCCCCATTTGCTTTTTGGAAGATTCCAGGTGCACTGAAACGATCTAGGTATGATGTGTTGTATCAGTACATTAGAATGTTACATCTCAAATGCAGATTTTCATTCTACACCAGGTCTCTTCTCAAATTGCACCCTAAAGAGTAGGATAGGCACAAATAGTGACACCCTATAATAATCACCTAAACCAGTAGATACAGGAGATGAAGAAAGTTCCTAGAGGTGATAGTTGAATTAAATGCTGGAAAATGTGAAGTCGGAGAAGAAGCTGCTTTCTATGCAAAGGAGTAGTGAGTGCAGAAACATGAAAGTGCAAGAAAGCTTGCCTCATTTGGAGGTTTAGAAACAAAACAAAACAGGGTTAGAAGTTTTTGTGGAGATTGGAAAAGCCGGAATCATAAAATGGGGTCTTTTAAAAATATTTTATTTTTATTTTATATGTATGAGTGTATTGCCTACGTGTATATGAGTGCACCATGTCATGCAATGTTGTGGAGGTCAGAAGAGGGCATCCGATTCCCCTGGAACTGGAGTTAAGGATGGTTCATAGCCATCCATGTGGGTGCTGCGTCCTCTGCAAGAGCAGTCAATGCTCTTAACTGCCGAGCCATCTCTCCGGCCCCATAAATAATGGGTTTTAGATCCCAAGCTAAAAAGTTTGAAATCTACCCTGAATGGAGGTGTCAGATTTGGGCATGGGGTAGAGTTGAGTTTGAATATGACTCCCGTGACTTTAGGCAAGTTGCTAGTCACCCCTAGGCTTTATAATTCTATTAAATTAGTAGCTGCTTCATAGAGATGTTGGCCATCAAAAAGAATATATGTGAGGTAAGTAGAAATTCAGCAGATGCTAACTACTTGTTTTTGTTTTGCTTTGTTTTGAGACAGGATCTTACTTTGTAGCTCAAGATGGTCTGGAACTCACTATGTAGCCCAGGCTAGCCTTGAACAAGCTACAGTCCTACTGTACTAACCTCCAAGTGCTGGTATTTAGATGCGAACCATCACATCTGGTTCCTGATTACTAATATTATAAAGATTTTAAGGGGGACAATAGTAAGATCAGTCCCGATAAAAATATTTCAGGCAGCATTGGCAAGGATAGATTTTTCCCCCCCCTTTGGTCTTTTTGAGACAGGGTCTCCCTGTAGCCCCAGCTGACCTGGAACTCTCTAGATAGATCAAGTAAGCCTCAGTCTCACAGAGGTACATTTGCCTCTGCCTCCTGAGTGCTGGGACTAAAGGTGTGTGTCACCATGCCCAGCCACCCTAGTCATTTTTAAAGGTTAGTTAGAATCACTCTTCTAGGAACTCTCACTGCTTCCCATGCTTCCCTCATAGGCTAAACTTCAGCTTGAACTGTGGGTTGGGACCCCATAGGGGGTTGTGAAAAATTTGGCAATACACACACAAAAAAAGGTGTTGCATGCACTATGACCAAAAATCAATTCAAATTCAAACATGTAATGAATCTAAGGAGTTTCTGGCATTGCTCGCCTGTTGTAGTATTGTGTGACTTCACTGCAGCCTTGGGTCTGAATATACAGCATGCACATTTTACATGATGCATACCAGCACATTACATAATGTTCACAAGTGCTGCCTAAAACATCTCAGCTCATGCCTATTGTGTGTTGTGAATTACAGTGCTCTTACTGTACATATAAAGTTTCTATTCTTATAGAAACACTGTGGTCTACTTATGGAAAATAAAGACCATTTTCCCACAGTCATTCACCAGTATGTATCAGATTAGTATAGCTTTGTATTGTGTTAGAATGTTTTTATTCTGTGTATTTATTTGAATATTTGAGGCATGGTTTCATGTAGCCCAGATTCACTTAGAACTCACTATGAGGCTGGAGAGACGGCTCAGTGGTTAAGAACACTGGTTCTTCTTGCAGAACCTGGGTTTGAACCCCAGCACCCACATGGCAGCTAACAACTGTCTGTAACTCCGGTTTTGGGGAATCTGACAGCCTCTTCTGTCCTCCAAGGGTGTTGCACGACATGGGTGCACTTACCTATGTGCAGGCAATATACTCATATACATTAAGTAAATAAATAAATAAATAAATATTTAAAAATAAAAACTCATTATGTAGCATAAGACCTTGAACTCCTGATCTTCCTGTCTCTATTTCCCAAGTGCTGAGAATACAGGAGTACACCAACCATAATCAACTAAAGTATTTGATTTGAAATTTTTTATTGTTGTCATTTTTATTTATTTGTATGTGTCTGTGTGTCTGAATGTGTGCATGCACATGTCACAGCACACATGTGGAAGTCAGAGAAACTTGTAGGAGTTGGTTCTCTCCTTCCACCACACAGGTCACTGTGTATCCAAAAATGGTTTTGAATTATTTTAAACTATTTTATTTATTATTTTTATGTATGTGAGTGTATTGCCTGTATTTATGTAAGTGCACCCATGTTGTGCAATACCCGAAGGGGACAGAAGAGGCTGTCGGAGCCCCTGGAACTGGAGTTACGACAGACAGTTGTTAACTGCTATGTGGGTGTTAGGATTCAAACTAAGAAAGATGTAAAGACAAAATTGTGGAAGAAGATGAGAGATAGCTTCCTGAATGGCTACAAACTCTGAAAAATAGGGGGGAAATGGATTTACTTGGAATGGAGAGAGCATTGGCATTGTTTGGAATGACAGTGGTCCAGTCTGGCATTTACCAGGGGAACTGTAAGGAGAAAGTAACTGGGCTGCAGGAAGAGAGCTTCTTAGAAACTTCTGAAATTTGTTTGAAAAACTAGTGAATCTCATTAAAAACACAACTTTCAAACATGCTCGACTTGGGAAAGAAATTAAAAGAGTCAAGCAGTGTTATTCAGGTGAGAATCCCTAAGGTTAGTGAAGGTGGCTTCCAATTGCTTGCCCAGGTTGTCTAGCATAGGGGGTGGGGCTCATCTTCAGCATTCTTAACAAATAAGGTAGAAAAAGAGTGAGTGCATGAAGATCAATAATTGCTAATGGGGAAGTCTAGGGACATAATGCAGTGATACACACCTGCCTAGCATGCATGAGATCTGGGTTTTATCCTCAGCATGCCCCTCCCCCCCCCAAAAGAGTGATTAGGCGGTATAAGTGGTTGGTTTTGTTTTGTTTTGTTTTGTTTTATTTTGTTTGAGATAGGGTCTCATGTGTCCCAGGCTGACCTCCAACTCACTGTGTAGTCAAAAATGCACTTGAACTTCTAACTGATCTTCCTGTCTCACTTCCCAAGTGCTAGGATTAGAAACCTGCCCCACCATACCTGTTTATTCTGTGCTGGGGATCAGACCCAGGACTCTGTGCTTAAACAACACTCTGCCAACTGAGCTACATCCTTAGCCCTATATATGATAGGTTGATAAAGATGACTGCTACATATATTTGGCGAAGGAATGGGGCTCAGAGTGTGGCCTCACTCTGAATGTGAGGTAAAAGATGTTAGGACAGCAAATGAGGGTAGGACTCAATTTATCTCAAAATCATTTGGGTCAGTGGCTGGATATTAATTGGTAATGAAGTTCATTGGAGCCAAGTAGGCTCAGATGCACTGTCATAAATGTTTATGTGTCTGTGAAACAGTGTGTGTCAAGCATTGATAGTCATGTTTCTGTTAAAGAGGTGAAAAAAAACCCAAGAAGTAAGGGGTTTGCCTCTGTAAAACTTAGAAGGGAAAGAGGAAGAGAAGAGATGTGAAGTGGGCTAACTTGGTTGGCTATGGCTGGTGAGGAAATTGGAATGGAGTACTGGGGTATGAGAGGAGGTAGCAGAGTATTTCTTGGGCAGATGATGCATAAGAAGAGATATTTAACCATTGTGGTATGTGAAACATGTGCCAATGCCACCCCAATTATTCTTTTCTGGAACTTGTGAGAGAAGCAGGGAACCACTCTTCAAATTACTGTGCTAAGGGGATACTGCCATTGTCATATGATTCTGTGTAATCTGTAAAGTCAGGACCAAAGAAGAAGTTAAAATGAGCCAGATCCTCAACAAGAAGTCATTGTCCCATGGTACACCTAAAGTCAGTATTTTTATATTGGTTTTGGAGAAACTGGGATGTGGAAAAGGCAGGTATAGGAATGTGATGCCTGCGTAGCACTAAGCCAGCATCTTCTCTGTTTCTTTTGCAGATGAGCGGGACCGGGTTCAGAAGAAAACATTTACTAAGTGGGTCAACAAGCACTTGATGAAGGTAGGACTCTTTCATATGCTTCCCTAGCACCTCTTACTGTTCATTCCACCCTCCTTATTTTTCTCTCTGTGTGTGTATGCATGTTTTTGTATATGGGTACATTTGCACATGGAGATCAGAGGTTGATTTCAAAAATAATCTTTGATTATTCTTCAGCCTCACTCACTGAGACAGGGTCTCTCAGTCAAACGAGACTAGTTCAATGATAGACTAGTCTTGCCAGTCGGCTGGCTCTGGAGATTCCTGTCTCCACCTTCCCAGACTGAAATTACAGGTGAGCCACCACACCCATCCCCAGTTTACATGGGTTTCTGGGGACCTGAGCTCCAGTCTTCATGCTTACATGGTAAGTAGCTTAACCACTGAGCCAGCTCCCTACCACCCCTATGTATTCATAACTGTGGAAATAACCATGTTACATATTTCAGACAGGCTAAGGATACCAGGTCATAATTCCTGAAACTCTGAAAACACCACCTCTAGCTCTAAAAGTTATTTTATAAATCCTATTCTTTCTTCATATTGTTGTTATTGTTTGTAGTCTACCATAGGTTTAACCAAGGGCTTTACTTTAGGCAAGCACTCTACCACCGTGGTACTTTCCCAACCATTTTTTGCTTTTATTTTGAGACAAGGGCTCCTAAGCTACTCAGGCTGGGCTTTCAATTTTCAACCCTCCTGCCTCAGTCTCCAAAGTAGCTGGGATTGTAGGTACGTGCCACCACATCTGAATAAACCCCTTTATTTAATTAAATTAAATTAATTAATTAATTTATTTATTTATTTTGGTGTTTTTGAGACAGGGTCTCCCTGTAGCCCCAGCTGACCTGGAACTTGCTATGTAGACCAGGCTGACCTCGAACTCATAGAGATCTGCCTGCCTCTGCCTCCCAAGTGCTGGGATTAAAGGCGTGTGCCACCATGCCCGGCCAAACCCCTTTATTTTAAAATCTGAATTACACCTATAAGGATGAGACTGGGGTTTTTCTTTAAAGTGAAAATCTTAAGTGTTTAGTTGATGGGCTAGAGGTGCAGTACTGAGAACAGAACCTAGGGCCTTGACTTGCCAGGCTTCTAAAATATATTCCTAGCCCAGTTGATGGAGTTTTAACATTAATTACTATAGTTCAAGATATACCACATTTCTAGAGTGGCTAGAGAAATTTTTATTATTAAATCAAGGGGGTTGGGGGCCTGGAGAGATGGCTCAGTGGTCAAGAACACTGGCTGTTCTTACAGAAGACCGGGTTCAAATCCTAGCACCTACATGGCAGCTAACACCTGTCCTTAACTACAGTTTCAGGGGATCTGACTGCCTCTTCAGTCCTCCACAGGCATTGCAAGACACGGGTGCACTTACTTACATGCAGGCAATAATGCTCATACACATAAAATAAAAATAATAAATAAAATTTTTTTAAAAATCGGGGCAGTGGCTGGAGAGATGGCTCAGCAATTAAGAACACTGGTTGTTCTTGCAGAAGACCTGGGTTCGAATCCTAGCACCCACATGGCAGCTAACAACTGTTCGTAACTCCAGTTCCAGGGGATCTGACAGCCTCTCTGTCCTCCGCCGGCATTGCACGACACAGGTGCACTTACCTACATGCTGGCAATACACTCATAGACGTAAAATAAAAATAATAAATAAAATATAAAACAAAAATTTTTTAAAACTCGAGGGGGTTGGGGAGATGGCTCAGTGGATAAAACACAGTGCAAGCATGAGGACCAGAGTTTGAGACCCCAGAACCCACTGAAAACCAGGCTGCCTGTAATCCCAGCACTCAGGAGGCACAGATATGGGATCCCTGGAGCAAGCTGGCTAGGTAGACTAGCTGGAATTGCTAGGCTCCAGGTTCAGTGAGAGACCCTGCCCCACTCAGTAAATAAAGTGGAGAGTGATGGAGGAGGACGCCTGTTGTCAACTTCGGGCCGCCACACACATGCACATACATGTGCATGTACACCCCCCCCCCCGTGTGACACCTACACACATTCACATATGTATGCATGTGCGCACACACGGACACACACAGTAGTAATAAAATCAAGACAGAGGCATGGTTAAGACTTTTGTATAAGGTCTACCTACTATGGCAGTCAGATTCAACAAAGTTTGTGAGTTCTAGTAATTACTGTTGTTCTGGAAAAGATCTCCAGTAATTGATTGATTGATCCTTTATTATTATTATTATTATTTTGTTTGTTTGTTTGTTTGTTTTGAGACAGAGTCTCCCTGTAGCTCCAGCTGTCCTGGAACTCACTATGTAGATTAGGCTGGCCTTGAACTCACAGAGATTCGCCTGCCTCTGCCTCCCGAGTACTGGGATTAAAGGCATGCACCACCATGCCCAACAACAATATATGTTCTTAACTTGTAAAACTGGCTCTGGCTCTTGCCTGCTGTTCTAACCCTAACCCCTTCTTTTTTGCGAATCAGTGAGTTTAGTTAGAGTAATTTACAGGAGCATGGACACTTTATCAGTGGCTACCACCGAAGAAAGTATCTTTCCTTCCCTTAGAAATCTTTAACCCCTCAAAGGAGTAGTAGGGCCTCTGCCTCCTTTTCTAATTTTCTCATCGTTCTAAATTTCCCTATCTTAAGCTCTTGCTGAACTATGTGGCATGCTATTTTATGTTTCGCTATCTTTATTCTGCTGCTCCCTCTGGTTGGGAGACCTTCCCAAAGTCTGTTCTGCTTATCACCAACTTAATACCTCATCAAATAACCTGACCTTGCCATGTGGAATCAACTACCCTTTCCTTTGTGTGCCTCCTTGTATTCCTTATGTGCTTTTGTTACAGTGTTTATACATATTGTTCTGAATATAACTACAGATTGCATCTTTTGTCTTGTTTTGTTTTCCGATTGTATCATTGTTCTAGTTTTTGTTGCTGAGATAAAATTCTCTGACAAAACAATTTCAAGGGAGAAGGGGTTTACTTGGCTTACAGCCCATCATTGTGGGGAAGTCAAGGTAGGAACTTGAAGCAGCTGGTCGCATCATATCCACAGTCAAGAGGGGAGAGACAGAAATGAATACATGGTAATTTACTCTGCCTGCTTTTTTCTACTCCTGTGCAGTTCAGGGCCCAGCCCATGAAATAGTGCTGCTGGCACTTAGAGTGGGTCTTCCCACCTCAATTAACTTTCACAGGCATGCCCACAGGCCAACCTGATCTAGTCATTCCCTTATTGAGACTCTCTTGCCCTGTGATTGATTCTAGGTTGTGTCAAGTTGACAATTAAAACTTACCACAGGTTTGAACACAAATAATGTGTCTTATTTTTTGTAGTGTCAGGACAAAGAAAGACAGGAGAGAAGCAGGGAATAACAACAACAAACAAAAACACTGTTCTGTAGTATAAATTCCTAGAGTTGTTACCAGTTATCTCTAGTTGGTAACACCCAGCTCTGTCAGGATTCAGAGTCGTGCTCAACCTGGTTCTAACCTACTTGCCCAGCTGCATTTCATGATAGACTTCTGTGTAGCTTATGCTGTAGTTATGCCAAAAACCTCACTGCTCCCTAATCTCGGTGTGCTTTTCACACCTCTTTGCTTATGTCTCTATTCCTAGAATGCAGATCCCTGTCTCCTATGTCTGGCTGTTCTTACTGACATTTTTTGGGTTGGGTCATATAATCTTTCTGATCTTCTGACCTGCATTCCTAGGAATAAACCGTTACTTGCAGTTTCATGTCTATTCTGTATCTCTTTGAACAGAGGCCTGTGTGTTCACATACTGGTCTCCTCTGTTCTAGTGCCCATAGACATTATGTTACTTTCTCTGCAAGCACTGCACAGGGACATGAAACATATCCAATAAGTATTTGTTACTTTGAGTAAATAATATTCTGTTAGTGCTTTATAGCTTCTGATTTGCATTTTATCTGACTTAATCTTTACAATAATCCCAAAAGAGAATGTATGTCTAAACAGTGAAGCTACTTTTTGTGCATTTTAGAATTTAATCCTCTCAGTTTTCACAATAAAAGAGTAAGAATTAGAGAGGTAAAATGACGTTCCCAAGATCATGCAGCTAGTGAGGGGCAGAGCTAAGTGTCATTTATAAGTTTTTCTACCAAACTCCTTTCATATCCGATATCTCTAAGAATTAGAAGAGCCTTTGCTGGGCCTAAACTTTGTGTTTACATCAAATGCTCTGGCTCTCTGCTGTTTCTTTGTAGCTGATGCTGCCTGTTGGACCTCTGTCTCAATGCTGTGTGATGACAGCAGGCCCCAGGAGGGAAAACTAGAACACATCATGACATTGTTAGAAATTGGAGGCCAGCCAGAGCTTTACTTAAACCCTCGGCTATTTTTCATCTTTTCCCAGACTGCCAGCCCTACAATTCCAACAACATTTAAAAATCTTGGGATATTTAGAGAGAGGTTCACTGCTCATCAGAATCATTGCACTAAGATTGAATTCTTTGAACTTTGGGTTGAAAATTAGGGATCAAGATTTATGTTTTGAAACTCAGGCATCTTTTATTTGGCTGTTCAAGTACACTCAGATTAATTCTGTCTTTGGCCAGTAGGCCAATGTAAGGTCAAAACCAATTAAACCTCTCAAATTCTAGATTTAGTTGATTTAGAATCTCTTGGGTCCCCAAGTATCCCTTTGGGGAACAGTTTGTTCTGAAGTAAAATTAATTCCTCATTATTAATTGAGAGCATGATTGACCCAATCTTAGAAGAGATGTATTAAGAGTACAAGTATCTGAAATATATGAACAATCTAACTTAGAATGCAAGTCCACAAATATGAAAGTTTTTTGTGCCAGAACCGTCTAAAAAGGAAACTAAGGCCTTGTTTAAATGATCTCTTTATAGATACTGTTATATATATCTTTAGGTTCTGGTAGCTGATAAAATATGTCTTTTCAAAGAGAATATTTTTTTTTAAAAAAAGATGAGATATTGGACATGGTAGTGTATTTTTTTTTTTTTTTTTGGTCTTTTTGAGACAGGGTCTCCCTGTAGCCCCAGCT